TATTTTTTTATTTTTATAGAGACAAGGTCTCACTATGTGCCCAGGCTGATCTTGAACTGAGCTCAAGTGATCCTCTTGCTTCAAGCCTCCCAAAGTGCTAGGATTACAGGTGTGAGCCACTGTGCTCAACCTACTTTTAAATTTCTAATAGGCATAGCACAAGCACTAAATATTTTTGAATGAATGAACGAACTAAGTTCTTTTAAGTTAATTTATGAATTGTTTGCTGATCTGCCTATTCCACCTTTTAACCAAAATGGTTTTCCATGACTAATGCTGTATATAATTGTTAATTTTACTTGTTATTGAGGTATAATTGATAGACAACAAACAATGCACGTTTAAATTTGATAAGCTTTGACAGATGTGTCCACAGTTCACATTTAGTAGACCATCTGAATTTGTCCCACAGTTCACTAATGGCCTATGTATGTATTTGTTTATTTTTTTAGAGATAGGTTCTCACTATGTTGCTCAGGCTGGCCTTGAACTGGGCTCAAATGGTCCTCCTGCCCTACCCACCCAAGTAACTGGGACTACTGATCCACCCTTTTTTCTGTGATTTCATTTTTGATAGCTACTGTTACTATGTCTTCAAGTTCAGTAATCTTTTCTTCTGTAATGTCTAATTGCTGTAAAACTCATCTGGTGTATGTTTCCTCTCAGACACTATTGTTTTTATCTCTACAAGTCCATTGGGATGATTTTACTATCTTTAATGTTTCTCCTTAATATAGTCATTCTTCTAGCTGCTTCTTCCCAACTTAGCGATACCACTAGGCTCTTGTCTGGGCTTTCTTTTTCTTTTTTATTGTACTTTAGGTTCTGGGGTACATGTGCAGATCATGCAGGATTGTTGCATAGGTACATACATGGCAAGGTGGTTTCCTGGCTTCCTCCCCCCATCACCTGTATCTGGTACCTCTCCCCACATTATCCCTCCCCACCCTCCCCACCCCCTGCTTTCCCTCCCCTAGTGCCCCCCAACTAACCACAGTGTGTGATGTTCCCCTTCCTGTGTCCACGTGTTCTAATTGTTCAACACCCGCCTATGAGTCATACCATGCCGTGTTTGATTTTCTGTTATTGTGTCAGCTTGCTGAGAATGATGGTTTCCAGATTCATCCATGTTCCTATGAAGGACACGAACTCATCATTTTTTTGTGGCTGTGTAGTATTCCATGGCGTGTATGTGCCACATTTTTTTTTTTTTTTTGAGACAGAGTTTCACTCTTGTTACCCAGGCTGGAGTGCAATGGTGCGATCTCGGCTCACTGCAACCTCCGCCTCCTGGGTTCAGGCAATTCTCCTGCTTCAGCCTCCTGAGTAGCTAGGATTACAGGCACGCACCACCATGCCCAGCTAATTTTTTGTATTTTTAGTAGAGACGGGGTTTCACCATTTTGACCAGGATGGTCTCAATCTGTTGACCTCGTGATCCACCCACCTCGGCCTACCAAAGTGCTGGGATTACAGGCTTGAGCCACCGCGCCTGGCTGTGCCACATTTTCTTTATCCAGTCTGTTGTTGATGGACATTTGGGTTGGTTCCAGGTCTTTGCTATTGTAAACAGTGTCGCAATGAACATATGTGTGCATGTGTCTTTATAATAGAATAATTTATAATTCTTTGGGTAGGTACCCAGTAGTGGGATTGCTGGGTCAAATGGTATTTCTGTTTCTACGTCCTTGAGGAATTGCCACACTGTCTTCCACAATGGTTGCACTAATTTGCACTCCCACCAACAGTGTAAAAGTGTTCCTATTTCTCCACATCCTCTCCAGCATCTGTTATCTCCAGACTTTTTAATGATTGCCATTCTAACAGGTGTGAGATGGTATCTCAATGTGGTTTTGATTTGCATTTCTCTAGTGACCAGTGATGATGAGCATTTTTTCATATGTTTGTTGACCACATAGATGTCTTCTTTTGTAAAGTGTCTGTTCATAACCTTTGCCCACTTTTGAATAGGCTTGTTAGTTTTTTTTCTTGTAAATCTGTTTTAGTTCTTTGTAGATTCTGGATATTCGCCCTTTGTCAGATGGGTAGATTGCAAAGAAAATTTTTCCTATTCTGTTGGTTGCTGGTTCTCTCTAATGATTGTTTCCTTTGCTGTACAGAAGCTCTGGAGTTTAATTAGATCCCATTTGTCTATTTTGGCTTTTGTTGCCATTACTTTTGGTGTTTTAGTCCTGAAGTCCTTGCCTATGCTTATGTCCTGAATGCTTTTGCCTAAGTTTTCTTGTAGGATTTTTATGCTGTTAGGTCTTATGTTTAGATCTTTAATCCATCTGGAGTTAATTTTAGTGTAAGGTATCAGGAAGGGGTCCAGTTTCTGCTTTCTGCACATTGCTAGCCAGTTTTCCCAACACCATTTATTAAACAGGGAATCCTTTCCCCATTGCTTGTTTTTCTCAGGTTTGTCAAAGATCAGATGATTGTAGACGTGGGGTGTAGTTTCTGAGGCCTCTGTTCTGTTCCATTGGTCTATGTCTCTGTTTTGGTACCAGTACCATGCTGTTTTGATTACTATGGCCTTGTAGTATAGTTTGAAGTCAGGCAGCATGATGCCTCCAGTTTGTTCTTTTTGCTTATGATTGTTTTGGCTATGCAGGCTCTCTTTTGGTTCCATATGAAGTTTGAAGTGATTTTTTCCAGTTCTGTGAAGAAGGTCATTGGAAGCTTGATGGGGATAGCATTGAATCTATAAATTACTTTGGGCAATATCGCCATTTTCATGATGTTGATTCTTCCCAACCATGAGCATGGAATGTTTTTCTGTCTGTCTGTGTTGTCTCTTCATTGAGCAGTGGTTTATAGTTCTTCTTGAAGAGGTCCTTTACATTGTTAGTTGTATTCCTAGGTATTTTATTCTCTTTGTAGCAATTGTGAATGGGAGTTCACTTTTGATTTGGCTCTCTGTTATTGTTGTCTCGAAATGCTTGTGATTTCTGCACGTTAATTTTGTATCCTGAGACTGCTGAATTTGCTTATCAGTTTCAGGAGATTTGGGGCTGATATGATGGGGTCTTCTAAATATACAATCATGTCGGCTGGGCGTAGTGGCTCACACCTGTAATCCAAGCACTTTGGAGGCCAAGGCGGGTGGATCACCCGAGGGCGGGAGTTTAAGACCTGCCTGACCAACATGGTGAAACCCCGTCTTCTTTAAAAAAAAAAAAAAAAAAATATATATATATATATATATATATATATATATATATATATATTCCTCTTTTCCTAATTGAATATGCTTTATTTCTTTTTCTTGCCTGATTGCTCTGGCTAGAACTTCCAGTACTATATTGAATAGGAATGGTGAGAGAGGGCATCCTTGTCTTGTGCTGGTCTGGGTTTTCTCACCCCGCACTTGGGCTTAGAATCTCCTCAAGGCAGTAAACTGAGCCAGTGATAGGACTCAGGACTCACCTCATTTGTTTTTCCATCTTTCTGGTATGTCTGGTATCACTGTTCTTTGTAACCTCATGTTCAATATCTTTTTTTTTTTTTTTTAAGACAGAGTCTTCCTCTGTAGCCCAGGCTGGAGTGCGGTGGGACGATCTCAGCTCACTGCAACCTCTGCCTTACAGGTTCAAGTGATTCTCCTGTCTCAGCCTCCCAAGTAACTGGGACTACAGGTGTCTACCACCACACCCAGCTAATTTTTGCATTTTTAGTAGAGACAGGGTTTCACCATGTTTTCAAGGATGGTCTCTATCTCCTGACCTTGTGATCCACCCACCTTGGCCTCCCAAAGTGCTGAGATTACAGGCGTGAGCCACCGCACCCAGTGTTTTGTTTGTTTTTTAATGTGAACTCACTATGTTGCCCAGGCTGGAATACAGAGGCATGACGGCTTATTGCCGCCTTGACTGCCTGGGCTTAAGCAATCCTTCCACCTCAGTCTTCTAAGTAGCTGGGACCATAGGCTGAATGCCACCATGCCTGGCTATTTTTTTTTTCTTTTTTGTTTGAGATGGAGTCTTACTCTTTGACCCAGACTATAGTGCAATGGTGTAATCTTGGGTCACTGGAACCTCTGCCTCCTGGGTTCAAGTGATTCTCCTGCCTCAGCCTCCCAAAGTGCTGCGACTATAGGCGTGATCCACTGTGGCTGGCCTTGATGTCTTAAAAACAATTGTTTCTGGCTAGGCGTAGTGGCTCACACCTATAATCCTAGCACTTTGGGAGGCTGAGACAGTCAGATCATCCGAGGTCAGGAGTTTGAGACCAGCCTAGCTAACATGGCAAAACCTCATCTCTACTAAAAATACAAAAATTAGCCAGGTGTGGTGCATGCCTGTAATCCAGGCTACTTGGGAGGCTGAGGCGGGAGAATCACTTGAACCCAGGAGTGGAGGTTGCAGTGAGCCGGGATTACACCACTGCACTCCAGCCTGGGCAACAAAGTGAGACGCAATCTAAAAAATAATAATAATACAGTTGTTTCATGTATTTTGTCTAGTTTTTAAAAGATTGTTTTAGGCAGAACAGGAAATACGGTTGCCAATACTCCATCTTGACCTCTCATTTGTTTCTCTTTATTTTTCAGAATCTACCTAGCTATTTCTTAGCTATGTCATTAATTTCCCCCCATAAACCTTGGTATCATTTTAGATACTTTTTCAGATGTCTGTCTTGGTGGGGGTGAAGGCTGGTTGAAATTGTTTGCATACTGGAACTAATCAAGTTAAATAAGTAATTAAGCAGAGTAGGTTCTAGCATCATCAGCATCACAGGTGGGGCCAGTTTAGAGCATCTGAAGACATTCATATTTTTAGGAGATTGGGCTGATGGCAGAAGGGGTAGCTAATTCACCTGTATAGATTCATAATTCATGTGGGATTAATAATAAATTCATAGATACAGGCAATAAATATGAATTATACTTAGTTTAATAAAACTGTTGTGAATGTGTATACAATATCTGAATTTTTCATAGCTCAAGAGAAGGAATAATTCTGAATAGTAGACTTATAGTATTGTTTCCTTCTTCATAGATTTAAACAGTCAAGTAAAATCAAGCTGGGTAATCATGGCAGAAGGTGGATTCGATCCCTGTGAATGTGTTTGCTCTCATGAACACGCGATGAGAAGACTGATCAATCTGGTGAGATGAACAGGATAATCCTTTTCTGAATTGATCTCTATCCCTTGTAGCCTCTTTTCATGAAAATACTAGTTATTGGAGGGTTTTCATCTGATGGTCACTAAAAAGTACTTCATAATTGAAACTGAAATTCCACATTTGCTTATGTCATAATGATTAAAATGTGGCTGGGTACAGTGGCTCACACCTGTAATCCCAGCATTTTGGGAGGCCGAGGTTGGCAGATCACTTGAGCTCAGGAGTTTGAGACCAGTTTGGCCAACATGGCAAAATTCTATCTCTAAGGTTATAAAAAGTAAGAATATAAAAATTAGCCAGGCATGGTGGCACACGCTTGTAGTCCCAGTTACTCAGGAGGCTGAGGCGCGAGAATCGCTTGAACTTGGGAGGCGGAGGTTGCAGTGAGCTGAGATCATGTCACTGCACTCCAGCCTAAGGGACAGAACAAGACTCCATCTAAAGAAAAAAAGTTTGCTAGCAGTTACTTCATTAGAGATGAAAACAGACTACTGTCTTTATTATTATTATTATTTGAGATGGAGTCTCGCTCTGTTGCCCAGGATGGAATGTAGGTATGCCATCTCAGCTCATCATAGCCTCCACCTCCCGAGTTCAAGCGATTCCCCTGTCTCAGCCTCCCAAGTAGCTGGGACTGTGGGCACCTGCCACCACACCTGGCTAATTTTTGCATTTTTAGTAGAGACTGGGTTTCCCTATGTTGTCCAGACTGGTCTCAAACTCCTGACCTCAAGTGTTCTGTCTGCCTTGGCACCCCGAAGAGTAATTCTCTTTCTGCCTTTTCTACTTTATATCAATACAAATAAAATTGTTCTTAGCTGTGTGGAGCTTGTTTGCCTGCTAAGCTGCTATTGACAGTTCCTATTATGATACAGTTCAAATCCTACACCAGTATATGGCATGACAATACAAATCTCTATGTAAAGGTTTTTTTTTTGAGACAGAGTCTCACTCTGTCTCCCAGGCTAGAATGCAGTAGCATGATCTTGGCTCACTACAACCTCTGCCTCCTGGGTTCAAGCGATTCTCCTGCCGCCTCAGCCTCCTGAGTAGCTAAGATTATAGGCATGCACCACCACGCCCAGCGTATTTTTGTATTTTTAGTAGAGACGGGGTTTTGCCTTGTTGGTCAGGCTGGTCCAAACTCCTGACTTCAGGTGATCCTGATCCGCCCATCTCAGCCTCCCAAAATGCTGCTGGGATTACAGGCGTGAGACACTGTGCCCAGCCTATGTAAAGCATTTCTGAAAACAAATCAGTTATTTGACAGAGGTAGATTTCTGAACAACAGGATCTGAATAGTCTCTTTGAGTTGATTGTACTTAGTCTATAAGCTTAAATACAGGGCTATTTATGTTATACATTTTATGTGCAAAAGGAAAAATTGGACCGTTATTAACAGTGAAGTATATTCTTTTTTTTTAAATTTTTTTTTGCATTTTAGGTTTTGGGGTACATGTGAAGAACATTCAAGATTACTGCATAGGTATACACATGGCAATGTGGTTTGCTGCCTCAGTGAAATATATTCTTATATTATACATTATACTGGTTGAGTATCGCTTATCTGAAATCTTTGAGACCAGAAGTATTTTGGATTTTTTTTGCATTTTGGAGTATTTGCATTATACTTAGTGGTTCAACATCCATAATCAGAAAATCCAAAATGCTCCAAAGAGCATTTCCTTTAGCCTCATGTTGATGCTCAAAAATTTCAGATTTGGAAGCATTTTATGTTTTAGATTAGGGATACTCAACCTGTAACATTTTATTGTTTAAAAATACTCTTGTATGTCAGTTAATAAATGTAGGTACAAACAATTGCTCAAATGTTTGAGTTGTCAATATCAAGCAGGTTTTCTGTTGGCTCAGTGTTGCTACATGTAGTGATCAGAAATGTGTTTCTTTTCAATGATGTACTTTTTTAGAGTCAGCGTGCACTAGGACTTTGATCCTTAAGAATGCCTCAGAAGGAAATGAATAAAATAAGAACTTAGACATTAAATCAGACTCTTGAGGGTATAGGAATATAGTGGTAATGTGATGTCTCTGATACCTTGATGTGAAAATAGGTGAGTCTAAGGAGAGAATATTTGTTTATGAAGCAAAGAGCTGACAGTTTTTGTTTGTTTGTTTTTTGAGATGGAGTCGCACTCTATTGCCCAGGCTGGAGTGAAATGGGACAGTCTGGGCTCACTGCAACCTCTGCCTCCCGGGTTCAAATGATTCTCATGCCTCAGCCTCCAGAGCAGCCGGGATTACAGGTGCCTGCCACCACGCCCAACTAATTTTTGTATTTTTAGTAGAGATGGGGTTTCACCATGTTGGACAGGCTGGTCTTGAACTCCTCACCTCAGATGATCCGCCTGCCTTGTCCTCTCAAAGTGCTGGGATTAAGGTGTGAGCCACTGCGCCTGGCCAGTATTGTTTTCCGAAAGGCTTTTCTACCTCTTATGCATCCATTATCATCATGTTTTTTTTCTTTTTTTTAAGACGTGATCTTGCTGTCACCCAGGCTGGAGGGCAGTGGCAGGATATCTGCTCACTGCAACATCCATCTCCCAGGCTCAAGCGGTCCTCCTGCATCAGCCTCCTTTGTAGCTGGGACCACAAGCACCAGCCACCACGCCTGGCTAATTTTTGTTGTTTTGTAGAGGTGGGGTTCCACCATGTTGCCCATGCTGTCTTGCACTCCTGAGCTCAAGTGATCTGCCTGTCTCCCCTTTCCAAAGCACTGGGATTGCAGGCATGAGTCAACCACACTGGCTGTGGTTTTTCTGAGACAGGATCTTGTTTTTTCCCCCAAGCTGGAGTACAGTGGTATGGTCATAGTTCACTGCAACCTTGAACTCCTGGGTTCAAGCAATCCTCCCACTTTAGCCTCCCAGGTAGCTAGGATTACAGGTGTGCACCAATATGCCCAACTAATTTTTTACATTTTGGTAGAGATGGGATCTCAACACGTTGCCCAGGCTGGTCTCGAACTTCTGGCCTCCAGTGATCCTCCATCTTAGCCTCCCAAAGTGCTAGAATTACAGGCGTGAATCACTGCACCCCACCTGCATCCATTATCTTCTACTTTTATACTTCAGAGGACCTTTTCTCTTAGTACCTGTTACCTGACAGCTTTATAGAACTCTAAGCTAACTCTCAGCTTGTATTTGAAAAGCAGATAATCTGAGGGTATAGTTTTTTGCCGTTAGTTATAACTACCAGAATTTAAATTGCTATGTGCTTAGGAAACTCACAGATGTACTTAGTGATACAGTATGATGGCAGAACAGATTTATTCTCATTTTCTAAAAATAAGCATTTAATTCATCCTTGCAATAGAGTAACATCTTATTTTAAGTACCAATTTGGAATTTTGGGTTTTTTCGATCTTATGTAATGTAATTGGGTTTTCTTGAAGACCAGAATATCATCAATTTTTAAGAATTTAAAGTTCTTTTTTTTTTTTTTTTTTTTTTTGCCAATCAGTTTGAGCTTATAAGGTTGCTCAGGTTAGTCTTGAACTCATGACCTCGCCTTCACAAGCACCACAACCTCCGGCCGGACCCACTTTGGACCCCTAAAGTTCTTATAGCAAGCAGAAACATGGAGAAACTTGAAGATCTAATTTACAGGGTAGCTCATTAATTATATGATGGGCTGTGGTTTAGTTTTGCCTATTCTGTGGAAATAGATGGGCTTTGCCAAGGAATATATACAATTTAGGAGCAGTTAGGATTTTATTATTACTTTTTCTTCATAAAAAAGTACAGTATGTACTTTATAAATAATGCTTGGCCAGGCGTGGTGGCTCATGCCTGTAATCCCAGCACTTTGGGAGGCCGAGGTGGGTGGATCACAAGGTCAAGAGATTGAGACCATCCTGGCCAGGATGCTGAAACTCTGTCTCTACTAAAAATATAAAAATTAGCTGGGCGTGGTGACACATGCCTGTAGTCCCAGCTACTCAAGAGGCTGAGGCAGGAGAATTGTTTAAACCTGGGGCACGGAGGTTGCAGTGAGCTGAGATCACACCACTGCATTCTGCCTGGCAACACAGCAAGACTCCATCTCAAAAAATATATAAAAACATAAAAAAAATAATAATGCTCAAGTAAATTGTATGATACAAAGATCTCCTATGTTAAATTATTTAAAATAATATTTTTTTGTTTTCTAGGAGCGTACATTCAAGTTGCCCTGAATATACACTCCCTATTTTTAATTTTTAAAATAAAATTGTATTTATTCACAGTTTAAGACTTCTTTTTCTAATTTATTTATTTGTATTGTACCATTACACTCCAGTCTCGCTTTATTGCCCAGGCTGGAGTGTAATGGTACAATCTTGGTTCACTGCAACCTCTGCCTCACCAGTTCAAGTGATTCTCCTGCCTCAGCCTCCTAAGTAGGTTAGAGGCACACACCACTACACCCGGCTAGTTTTTGTATTTTTAGTAGAGACAGGGTTTCACCATGTTAGATAGGCTGGTCTTGAACTCCTGACCTCAGGCGATCCACCCACCTTAGCCTCCCAAAGTGCTGGGATTAAAGGTGTGAGCCACCGTGCCTGGCCCTTTCCCTGATTTTATAGTGATATCATTTAAGGTTCTTCATTATGAGTAACAGAAGTTCTGGATGAATAGGCTGGGCACAGTAGATCACTTGAGGTCAGGAGCTTGAGACCATCCTGGCCAACGTGGTAAAACCCTGTCTTTACTAAAATATAAAACTCAGCCAGTTGTGGTGGGGCACACCAGCTACTGAGGAGGCTGAGGCATGAGAATCACTTGAACTCAGGAGGCAGAGATTGCAGTGAGCTGAGGTCACACCACTGCCCTCCAGCCTGGGTGACAGAGCAAGACTCTGCCTTAAAAAAAAAAAAAGTCTTACTGATTAAAGAGAAAACGACTTTTTTTTTTTTTTTTGAGATGGAGTTTTGCTCTTGTTGCCCTCGCTGGAGTGCAGTGGCACCATCTTGGCTCACTGTA